AAGAACTGCAGAATACAACAAAATGACTTGCAAAAACTTCTCTAGTGAACAAAATTGTGAAAAATGATTGTTGATTTGAATTTTTGGTTGATTCTCAAGGCTTCTACCCCACAATAGCCTGTTGGTTTCTTTTCCAGTTCATGTTTCAAACAAGCGAGGCCTTAAGTGAGTTTTGATTTGAAGAGACAAAGACACCTTTTGAATTTTTATTCATTTTGACCCTTTTAACTGTTTTTAATGGGCAAACTAACGAATATTAACATGGGATATTTTACAACTTTAGATGATTTATGGTAATGGATATAAGCAAGGGATACTCTAAAACTTTAGATGATTTATGGGAGTTTGTGCCAAATGAAAGGTCAGATGGTATTCCACAAAACAGACGAACATTCGGAAATATTGCATCAATATTGAGGGAGCAAAGTGCAATTGGACAAAAAATCTAACATTTTTTTTTTCAGCAAAATTCAATTGGACTTTTTTTTTTTAAAAAAAACAAATGGGAAAAATTTCCCCCCCCCCCCCCCCCCTTCAATTTTATATACTTTTTTCCGTACATTTGTTATAGATAAACTATTTATAGTTATAAATTTGTAATCTCCATGCATTCACATTATGCCCCCGTTTATTTCTCATTTTTGGAAGAATAAGAGTGAAAAATATAATCATTATAAACCCCACATAAAATATAGAAATTCAAATTTAATTGTTAGATGTGATGAATAACGATCATATTTTTCATTTAAATGAGAAAATAATGAAAATCAAACAGGGGCTATGTAACAACATTCCACAAAGTTGTATAATTAGCTTCCATTTGGATATGGATTTATAATATAGTTTACAAATTCAATCAAAATCTAATATTAATTTCAATCACATGATTCGCATGCGTAATTATTACTCATTATTATCCACAAATTTAGCCCCAATTTAAGCAATATTTTTTTATCCAAAATGCATTTTGAAATATTTTTTTGTTGGAAAATTTGAGGTTAAATATAAGAATCTCAATGCATGCTGCTGTCAAGATAAGCAAGATACAAGCTGTAATAACTTCTTAAACACGTAAATTTCAACCTTCAACACAATTTGGTAACTAGGATCACCGTAAGCAAAATGTTAACATTCTTCCTCTTCAACTAGGGGAGAAAAGCATCTTATTCCTGGTTTGCTTGAGGAAATAGTAATACAGAGATCATTTTGATGAATAAAAATGACCTTCAAACGTCACAAAACTAGTCAAAAACAAAATGCCAAAGCACAGTTGATCAATCCTTTACATCTGATATACCTTCTACAGAAATTTGAAACCTTGCTTCTGCTTCGGCCAAACATGGAGAACTCACTACTTTGCAAATGCGCTCGTCTCCTCTTCCCTTCCGTAGAGCAAGCCTTCAACATGTATAGAGTTGATAATTAGTCAACATTAAAATATGGCTTTGTGAGAATCTTAGCATATACAAACCTCGTTGTAGTAGCATGCGCCATAATGTTACCACCAATGGGTTTGACTTGTGGCCCAGCAAAAATCGCAGAACCATCCACTTGAGCAACAACTTGGTTGGTAATAACGACAGCAACACCAAACTACATCCATAAAAGATGGTTTGAAATTCTCGAGCCTGATGATTTTAGCTAACCCTCTAGACATGGACACAGAAACTACCTCGTCAGCTAATTTCTGAAGGCTCCTCAAGAACTTGGCAAGATGCATTTGCCTAGCCGAGAGTTCTCCCCTTCCTGAAAAATCTGTCCTATAAAGAGCAGTTGCACTGTCTACTATCATAAGTGCAAACCTGTGATTAAAATGAATTACGATGTCAATCACAATGTGGGCAGCTTTCATCATAGGCAAATCAACGAGCAAAGAATGACTAAGCATATGGTTGGGCGTGCTTATAAGTACTGTAGCCTCTACTTTTTTGTGTCTTAAGAACCAAACTTGGGTCCTAAGTCGTACGCAATAATTGTGGCTACTATCTATCCTCTTTTTGAAAAAACAACTTTTAAGCATGATCAAGCAAGCACTTATTTTGCCTATTAATAATGTCACTGAACAAATGAAATGCAGAGTGCAGGAATCAAGATGCACTTGAATTAAGCGAGACAATCCTTGCCACAATAAATTCCAGTAACATAGCAAAATTTATAGGTCACTTTCAGTAAGCTTTCCCACAATAAACATAGTACGTAGATATGAAAAAAGACACTTCCATCAGTACCCCAATTATATATCTATAAATAACTCATGAGAAGCCTTCTTGGATTCTAGTGTATGAAGGACAAATAGAAACTACCTTGTTTCCACCATCATTGAAGCAGCTTCAAGCAGCAGCCTAGATTGATGATCAGTGTTATATGCTCGAGCGTAGGCCACATTCTCCAAAACATCAGCACCATTCAACCCATATCTATGCATCAATTATCAGGAAAAGTTTAGTTATATAAAACTATACAAAACTGCACAACGAGATTCAGCTGAAGGAAGCTGTATTAACTTCTCTGCAATCTGTAATAGCCTCTGTGGCCTGAATGTTCCCTCAGCATCGATGTACATTGCTTTTCCCTCGCCACCCCCTTGATCTAATGGAAGCTGAAAACAACATTACTGTGCTTTCAATGATCTGACTGGATGAAATGTATATCCTCAAAATGACAACTATCAAGGCTCTGAATGCAAGACTCAAGGTTGTAGGAAGGAAAACCATAAAACTTTTCGTAAACACATTAATAAGATTCATATGGTTCAACTTTGTTATGTCTTTTAACATTTATCTGATTTATTACTGTGACTGTGGGTTCTTTAAATGAAGTTTCTTGACCTGACTGAGAGCATACGTCTCACTAAGTTGTATCTATTTTCTAATCTAGACATTCTTACCTGGCAAGTCACACACAGTGTATGGCATAGTTGAGTCTTTCCAGCACGGAACTCACCATATAATTCAGTAATGGATCCCGTTTCAATTCCTCCTGACAAAATAAATTGAGTCTGTGAAGCAAATCATAATGTATGACAATGATTTGTGGTCAATGAGAACCTACCTTCTAAGATTTTGTCAAGCTCCCTTGATCCAGAAGTTATTTGAATAATTTCAAGCCTCTGAGCATGGAGTTGGCTGGCACTAGTAAAACCCAAAGGCACCAACTTTGAAGCTGTTGAAATATGCAACATTGGCTAAGAGATATGATTCGTACCCACTGATTGATTATAAAATTTGTATAACAAAATTGAAGCAATGATTAGTGATCAATGATCACAATCACAAGAACAAGAATAACAAGATCTTGAAACAAGACACACATGCCTGCCTCAATGATCTTATCAACTTTTGCATCACTGATTCCTTTTATTTGCAGAAGCTCCTTCCTTGGAGAGTATGCAACAGATTCTACAGTACATAGGCCAGCATCTTTTAGCTTTTTTATGTCAATGGCAGCAATACCAGATGCCTTAAAGCAAAACAGGAAAAAGAAGAATCAATACCCACAAATATTCTAGATCTCACAATTAATCACTAAGATTGGCTGCCTTTAGTTCTTGAATCCTGATTTACATAGATATATAAATCAAGTCAACATTTGTTGAAAAAATGGAAATGGGAGATCATTAACAAAACGGAGATTTTCAATGTCTATTCCTCTTAGGCATATTAAACTCATAAAACCACCTCAATTCTTTTGAAAACTTTTAATCTTCACCACTTCCAAACAAAGAAGCATGACACCATTTCATCCCGTTACCACGATATACCTACACTTTTCCACTTGACAATGCTAATAAGTAATATTTACACAGCAAAAATTAACTCCAACTGGAAAAAAGTTTCAAAATTTTTCATGCATCTCACAAATAATGACGGGGAAAAAAAATTGTAGAGTTTGTTTTTCATATGTTCAGAGGCCATGTTTAAGCAGCAAGGAATTGGGACCATCGAATATGATTAAATAAACAGTATATTTATGCATATTACAAACATAGTGCTATCATTTTTTATCCTGGCACAAACTTTTCGTTCCTAGACAATCCATAAACATTTTATAGCATGCGATCTCCCAAAATATTAGTGAAAAGAATTACAAAATATTGACCAAAAAAAAATAATAATGAAAGTAATAATCTACCCAGTGATGAAGTTATAAATACATGGCATGGAATCTTGAGACCAATAAATAAACAGCCAAAAATTGATTAACCATTTTTGATAGTTAGATGCCGTTGACACTTTCTTCAATAAGAAGCAGAATCCAAAAACCAAGACTTCGAGGGCAAATTGGATGACCCATTTAATGTGATGTGAATGATATTTAACTCTTGGTTCATTAACTTAGCATCCGATTATACAATTGTGTATTCCAATCTCAAAACATTAACAACATGGGCCCCTTGATATTTAGGGTTCCAAATAGCAGCTCAAGTCAAATCTTAAAAATACAAGAGCCCGTCTTGAAATCTGTAATTCAAGAACAAAAAATGGAAATCAAATTGAAAAATTAACCGAGTAAGCAATTTTGGATATTGAAAAGCAATATAATCGATTAATCCTTTCAGATACCCATTTACAATTCTTGATTGATAATCGATGAATAAACTATGACAGAAGTAATATAAAAATAAAAAGAAATACAAACAAAAAGATTAGGACTTTGAAAATAAGATAGATCCAAATGCGAGTCGTCAAGAAACATAAACCCAAACTGAAAGAAAAAAATTCGAATATGGACCTGAAGTTGTTCAACAGGGAAAGGACCGTGTTGTATGTCTTCTTGTTCCTCTTGTTCTTGCTGTACCACCTTCTGCTTTCTCTGTTGCTCCATTTCTGTTTCTGTGTATGAGTTGAGAATGTGTGAGAAAGAGAGTGACAGAGAGGCAAGCAGTGAAATGTGGGAGGGAAAGCGAGGTTTTGAAAGTGTGGAGAGGCGCCAAATATGGCGATTGAATGAAAGGGAAGCTTCTGTTGTAAGCCTTGGCCCTCGTGCTTGCTCCAGTCAATGGGCTGAACCACAATTAAAAGGAATAATATGCTAGTTATATTGTACGTTTATAATGATATTCATTTCCCGCACATAATTTATTCGAAATGATTTCCCTCAATGCTAGGGAACACCGTCTTAAATACCTGATTTACGTGTAGTATCACCTCAATTAAAAAGGATAATTATCTAATTCCTTTTAGGAAAATAAGCCCTTATTTGATTCGCATTGTTTTTAACATATATTTTTTATTTTTTAATCACATATTTTTCAATAAAATAATAATACACATAAATTCAAAATTTTTTGTTATTTTTTAATCACACGTCCTACATCAATTTATTATTTCAAAACGTATTCTTAAGCCCAAAAAAAAAATGGGGCTCAAACATTCGCTAAAATAAAAAGCTAATTTTCAATCATAACTTTCACTAAAAAAACGTTGCAAATATTTTTTTTGAAAAAAACGTTGCAAAAATATTTTTTTTCTCAATCAATATTTTTTTCTAAGTCAAAAACTCCTCAAAAATGCATGTTGTACATTTTTTTCTCAAAAAACCATTCTTCTACATACTCATTCACACAATTAAAATATTCTACACTTAAACTCAAAACTTTTCCTTACTTTTTAATTGTACATTCTTGAAAAACTTACTATTTAAAATATTTTTTCTCAAATAATGAGCATCAAACAAGGGCTTACTTTGCCCCCATTTATACTCTATTTTAATCTTAATACATTTTTATCTTTCTTCATTTCAATCATATTTTTCAATAAAATAATATTATACGTAAATTCGAGCAAAACTCTGATCACCCAACTTGTATATCACCAAGGAATTCCCTTGCTTGTGTGATTCGCACTTCCCAGCAATTTTGGGCTACTTTTCTCTCAGCATTGAAATTCTAAGCACATCTTCTCCCAACTTCAGAACTTTGAAAGCTTATGGGTGAATCTATGATTTTTTTGTATGTCTGATCTAATGATTTTTTTTTTTGTGTTTTGATTTGTGGTTGAAGCAAGAGAATATTGGAATATTAATTTTATCTTCAATATATATTCTCTTAACTAAATATATGGCTATACCAATATAAGCATATTTGTTTTGGATGAATATATGAATCAATTATATTGGGGTTGAATCAAGAAATCAATGGATTGCATTTTGGATCTTTAATAATGTGATCTCTGATATAGAATAATGATTCAAAACACCTTGGGAAGGACTATGGCATGTATATTTATAATGAGTAGTGTTTGGGATAATATGGAATTGGAAAATACATTTAAAATCAAATCAGGTTATCTCTAGGGTATATATGCCGCTTGAGTGCTACCTGCCTAGTGCCTATTAAGCGTTGACTTCGCCATTCAAGTGGCAACCTCATGACAATGCTCCTATTGTTAGCGTTTGAGCGCGCCATGCTCGGCTAGCAAACAGTTTTGTTGCCATTTTTTCTTCTTGATCCATAGTTGACATCTTTGACTCATTCAAGGACTATACTATCAGTCCACAACTATTTTGACTAAAGTTACCATTGAAATGACCACGATTTTATATGCGAATAAAGTAAATTACAAATTGACATACTAAGACCTTTTTTAACTCATATTTGACTTTTACATTTTATTATTGTTGGATTTTATGCCAATAAGATTCTTCATTACAAGTAAAATGTTGTATCATTTTTAAATTAAATACTTACACACACTATGTAATTTGATTTTTTGGAAGAACATCATCTAAAATCTCAGTTCCATTCCCATATGCATAAAAATAATCATTTTTATGTAGATATTAGTGATGTCGTTTGTTGAATTTTATGCACAATAATAAAGATATGAGAGAGAGAGAGAGAGAAATTAACGCAAGTATTTACATGGTTCAATGATGTACCTACATCTATTAGGAGTGAGGCATAGATAATTTTATTTAGTATGAATAATAGGGTTACATCATTAGTATTTATACTAACACTAGTTCAAGTCCATACAAGACTTTAAAGCCCGTACAAGATCATTTCTCTTTCATTTCTATATTATTGCACATAAAATCCAACAACTGGTGTCAAAGTGCCAAGTTTAAATGGCGAGTTCTTCAGTTGCAAAATTTAATGTGATGAAGTTTGACGGATCTGAGAATTTTGGATTATGGCAATGAGGGTAAAGGATTTGTTGCCACAACAAGGGATGGTGAAGGCGTTATCTGGGAAGAAACCAGATGGTACGTCAGATGTTAACTGGGAAGAGCTCGAAGTGTGATCAGTGGGTACAATTCGATTTTGTTTGGCAGACAAGATCATATATCACGTCATGAGCATTGAGTCTCCGATAGAGGTTTGGCAAAAACTGAAGAGTCGTTATATGTCGAAGTCTTTCACAACCAATATGCATCTGATGCAGTGGTTGTATGAGCTCGAGATGCTGGAAAGTATCGGTCTGATTCAACACACCAATGTGTTCAATCAAATTATTAGCGATTTGTTGCAACTTGAAATTATTTTTGATGACAAAGATAAGGCAATGAATTGCTGTGCTCTATTCCTCATTCATACGACTAGCTAGTGACGACATTGACATGGGATGAAGAGACTCTCGAATTGGAGGAAGTTACATCAGCCACGTTGGCCTACAACCAATGAAAACTACGTGTTAGCTAAAGTTCACATGGTCAAGGGTTGATTGTGATGGGCTACCAAGATCATGGGAAAAAGAATAATAAGGGTAACTCTTACAAAGGGAATATGAGATCAAAATCTGGGAATATGAGACTTGGATTCTAGAGATGGAGATATGCTATCGATCTCTGCAGGTAATTCAAAAAGATTATATGACTCTTGGGTACTTGATTCAACTTGTTCATATCACATGTATCAAAATCGAGATTGGTTTGATTTACATTAATGATGCATCATGTAAGGTTATTAGAATGTGATCCATAAATTTTAAAATATTCGATGGTGTGGTAAGGATTTTGGAGGATGTTAGACATGTACCAAAGTGGAAAAAGAACCTAATTTCTTTAAGCACTTTAAACACCAACGGTTATTTTTATAAGTCCGAATGTGGGGCTTTAACAGTGAAGAAAAGGGTTATGATTGTGATGAAGTGTCATAAATTGGCATGGAATGTCTACAAACAATGAGAAATATAGTTGTAGGTGAAGTTACCAAGTCAGATGACACTCTCCTATGGCATATACGATTAGGGCATAGAGGAGAACGTGGTATGATTGAGATTCACAAGAGGAATTTGTTGAAAGTGGTAAAATCATGCAAATAGAATTTCTGCAAGTTCTATGTACTTGGAAAACTGTCTAGAGTACAGTTCAAAACGAGAAAGCAAAATACAGAAGGTATTCTTGATTATGTGCATTTTGATGTTTGAAGAACAGTGAGGGAGTTGTCGAAAGGTGGATTTTAGTATTTCAGTACTTTCATTGATGACATTTCTAGAAAAGTTTGGGTATATTTTATGAAGCACAAGCCTAAAGTCTTTGCTAAATTTATATTGTGGAAAACAGATGTAGAAAACCAAACGGACAGAAAAATTAAATATTTGAAATTTTGTGATGAGCACGGTATTCAGCAACACTATACAATTCGCAAGACACCGCAGCAGAATGGTGCAGTTAAGAGGATGAACATAAATAATTGCAGAACGAGTAAGATGGTAGAAGCTGAATGCAGAGCTTCTAAACAATTTTTGGGCAGAAAAGGTGAACATGGTATGTTATATCATAAACAAATCACCACGAGCAGCACTAAACGGGAAAGTTGCAAAGGAAGTTTGGACAGATAATGAGGTCAGTTATTCTAGAATGAGAGTATTTGGGTATCCGGCTTAAGTACATGTATCTAGTAATCAGAGATTCAAGCTTGATCTGAAATAAAAAAAGTGCATTTTTCTGGGTTATGTAAAAAGTGTGAAAGGTTACAAGTTTTTGGATCCAAAGGCAAGAAAGATGGTGATAAGTAGGGATGTAATCTTTGATGAAGCATTCCTGCTTAAAACTTTTCCAGATAAAGAGAAGCCCAGTTTAGGCGAAGGCAGCAACAAGACTCAAGTGGTGCAGATAGAGCTAGACATTGTTTACATGGAGATTAATGCTCAGGGAGAGGACAATTCTGGCTCAAAAGAGGAGTAGTATCATAGTATCGCTATAGATAGACCATGTCACACTATCAGGCCACTAGTGAAGTAAGGATTCGAGGATTCAGTTTTTTATGCACTCATTACCAGTAATAGCGATTATATAACTTTTCAGAATGCCATTGGTAATCAAGAAAATAGTAAATGGATAGAGGTTATGATGGAAAAAATTAAGCCCCCATTTGGTAATATTTTTCACCTCAAAAAATTGATTTTTTGACTATCATATCACTATTTCAACCATCTTTTTTAATTTATTCACTCACAGGCGGCCCCACTTTTCTCTCTAACAATCAAAAAATCAATTCTCATAATCACTATTGAACAGACCTCGAGTCACTGCATAAAAATGATACATGAGATTTCGTGGAGCTTCTAGAGATGAAGAAACGGGTAAGGTGTAAGTAGGCATACAGAAAGAAAGAAGCATTGTCAACAAAGGAAGGGTACAGATATAAGGCTCAGTTAGTAGCAAAGAGATACTTACAGAGGAAGTCAGTAGATTATGATTAAATTTTCTCTCCGATCATTAGACACTTCCATCAGGATTGTCTTAACAATGGTGGCTAACTTTGATTTGGAGTTAGAGCAGTTAGATGTGAAAATTGCTTTTCCTTCATAGTAGTTTGGAGCAGCAAATTTTCATGGAGCAGCCAGAGGGTTATTAGAACCCGAAACAGAAAATCTTGTGTGTAAAACGAAAAAGTCTTTATATGGGCTTAAATAGTCTCCACGGCAATGGTACAAGAAGTTCGACTCCCACATGATTCAGATTAGCTACAATCGTTGTGAGTATGACAGTTGTGTTTACTACAAAATTCTTGAGGATGATTCATATATTTTCTTGATATTGCATATTGATGACATGCTAATTG